TTTATTAAAGTAATCTAATTTTAAACAATTGTCACATTGTAATATAAAATGAATAATTATTTTTAAAATTAACTCTTAATTTACAACTTAACAATTTAACCTTAATGTAACTTTTTACTATGTTATAAGTTTCCTTTTTATGCAACTTTTAATTAAATTAATTGTGTAAGCCATTAACTTTAACTTAATTTAGTTAGATAGTACGAAATAAATTAATTTACCCAATCTTATAAGCTTATTTTACATATTGAATTTCTTATTCTCTTTATTCTCTGTTTTCTGTTTACTATTTATTTTTATTGTGTCCGAGTCCTAGCTAATATTGAACTGCACAATTACATCTTGGTAAATAATCGCAGTTATTCTCATTTGTTATATATATATATTTATTTTATGGAATTATAATAAAATAATACAAATAAAGTGTTACGTAATATATTGAAATTATAATATTGGCGCGCACTTTCAAAATTTACGTCATTTCCGGTTTCACAACATCATGGCGACGTTGTCTGATCTCTACCTAGAGGATCTCTAGGTCAGGCCAGCTGGAACGAGCGGCTTTCAGCGGCTTCCCCCTCCCCACGGACCCCGGATCGAGCCGTGAACGTTCTGAGCGGCTTTTCCCTCCCCGCGGACCCCTCTGCCCCTCACCTCTCCTCGGAACTCCCGGGCCAGAACCCGTCCTTATTAGCTACTCAAATCTTTTATTTAACTTGATGCTATTTACTGATATCAAATCTTTTATACAAGTAATAGTAATTGAATAATAAGACGCCGTACATAATTTTTATTTAACTTGACGCCATTTACTGATCAAGTCGTTTATAGAGGTAATAGTAATATACATATCACTGAAGTAAAGTTAGTTAACATCAAAGTACAAAGAAGGATATCATTTAAGTTTTATCTTTTAAAAAAATTATATTTAATTTAGATACAAGTTTTTTTCAAGGACCGCAGTTACACTTAACACCCTTTTTTACTTTTTTTTAAAAGTTAATTTTGTAACGATATCACGCATTTTGTAGTGTTATAACATACCTCGGATCAATGCTTGTTCGGGGAGGATATTTTACTCAAGGAGAATTGCTCCGTCGCATATTATCCCATTGTCGTGTTTTTTTTTACTGGGCTCATAACAGAAATTGTGTAACGGAAATATATATTATAGATAAAGGAGGCAATGTAGATGAATCTGGCCTTTCATCTTTCTATTAAAACAGTTATAATTATAGTGTAACACATAAAAATAATATAAACATATTTCTTTTGGATAATAATACCTTATCTGTAATATAAATTCATCTAATAGATGGTTTATATCTGTTATGAGCCCAATAAAAAAATCATAAGAATGGGATACGCAACAGGGAAATTTTCCTTGAGTGAATTATGAATGATATACTTCGGATTAATACCTGTTCACAGAGGATCTTTTACTCGAGAAGAATTGCCCCGTTGCATGTTATTTTATTTTTGTAATTTTTTTTACTAAGCTCATGACAGAGATTATGTAATCTCTATCACATGAAAAGGTATAAAAAAAGAGACAATGTACATGGATCTGGCCTTTCATCTTTCTATTAAAATAAATAATCAGTTTTAAAAATATAAATAAATATATAATTACTTATAGCAACAATATAATATAAATATAATGCAATAAGAAATGTCTTTTAACATACTTTATCTGTATCCGTAATCTTCGTCCAACAGATAGTTTACATTTCTGTTATGGCAGTAAGTAAAAAAATCATCAAGAATAGGATATGAATAGGATATAAGAACGAGATAATTCTTCTCAAGTAAAAGATCCTCCGCAAACATTAATCCGAGATATATATACATCAAGAAAAAGACACACGGTAACAATAACCTCACTTGTCACTGGAAAAAATATATGCGTTCAGCAGAGAGAACAGATTAGTGAGTGCTCTGTGATTCTTTAATATGATTGATTCTTGCTTTTATTTAGATTTTCTGGATTTAAGTGCAGAAACCAATCATAATAAAAATATCATTAAGCACACACTGATCTGTTGTCATCACATCAATCGATCGATATAGTACCAAGAGATACGGTCGTGGCTCGGCGCTAAAGAGTACGTCGAGACAGACCGTGTTTCTTTACGCGAGCTGACGAGTTGCTAATACCCAAGATTATTGAATCGCAATAATGGCTAAACCGATCAAGTTTTAAGTATATTTAATCGATAGCTTGGGTTTGAATTGTATAATAAAAGTGTTTTTATTTTTCCTTTGCGTACCCTCCGAGCGGAGATATTGCGACGCAAAGTCTGAATCTGAAAATTTTATTTTAAGAAACGTTATTGTCATTGTCGTCCTTGTACGATTGTAATTCCTGTCGCGAGAGGCGTTAGTGAGAAAATGAATTTGACAGTTCAGTGAATTTGACAGTTGGTGATAGTATTGTGATGTGATTTGGTTATACGTTTACGGGAGAAGAGCGCGCATTACGTCGGCATCAGCCATAGAATGTACACCAGCTCTTCGTACACGGTACAACGCGCGATTTCTTGTAAATAGCTGCATGTATTTCGTGATACGAATGTTACGAACAGAGTGCTGAGAATCACGACACTAAATATTTTGTTACGTGTCAAGCTGTAGCTGCCGCCGCCGCTCCAGCCGCCGACGCCGCCGTTCCAGCCGCCGACGCAGTCGTTCCAGTCACTGGCGTCTCTAAACGCAGAGGCTAGGAGAAACCCAAGTAAGTACAAATCAGTACATGAATAAAGAATATATTACGCATCATTTTATATTTTCGTGTGTGTGCGTATGTACGTGCGTGTGTGCGTGTACGTGTGCGTATGTACGTGTGTGCGTGTGTGGTTAATATGTGTTTGATATACTAATCCAGTCTTTAATAATTTACAGATTATCGAGGAAGAAGAACAGGAGCAATAGTACAACAAGAGAGGTTTATGAGATTTCTCTATCAATTATCCTCTGCCCACTATTATTAGGGACATAATAATAAAGACAGACGTTATTAATAGTATCGACTAATGTTGTCATCATGTTTATGTCTCTATTCTCTATGAAAACATGAGTTGTAATTTTATTGTGTATGAAATTTGTATCATTTGTATCACACACGCCAAGTGTTTTTACATAAAAAATTTTTTCTCTTATTTTTTACCGTTACTTTTTTAATCTTTGTGATAATACTTGAGTTAAGTAAAGTAACACAATTTTGTGATGTAATAATATTTTAAAGAAGAACTAAATAACTATTACCATTTGGAATAGGAAGAGTTGAATAGATACAAAGGTATGTACTACTTGCGTTTTATTTTTTAAAAAGTAGTTAGCGTGTATTACATATCATTCGGATTGAATAAGGTAACACAATTTTGCAAAAAATTAAAGCTACTATCACTTCGGTTGGAATAGAAAGGTTTTCAATGGGAGTACAAATATACGTACCACTTAAGTTTTATTTTTTTTAAATCATTACTTTAAAATTTTTTTTATAGAATTGTAATTTAGCGCCAGTTATTGATATCGAATCTTTTATTGAGTTTAATTTAATACAAATTCTTTTTAGGTACATAGCATTTGGGTTGAGTAAAATATCACAATACCACTTTTGTTTTTTTAACTTGATACTACAGTTTTTTTTAAGAACGCGTACTCTTAGCGCCTTTTTTATCTTTATATGTATATATTGATCGAAACATGCGAGGCTGCAAGGTTAGAAATTCTAGCGCTCTAGCGCCTCTTGCGTCAGAAATTGTAAAATTACATTTCCCCCACCCCGCAACTGGGCGACGACGACGACGATGATAATGACCCAGACAGCCAAATGAAATCAAGATGCTATGATGTTACTGTCAACCGTTGCAGCAATAGATTGCGACAAACTAGGGACAAGGTGCTTCCTCACTATATGTGAAATCTTGCCCTCATGTGAATTCTAGTTTTGATTATAATAAGTTGATAGTATCTTGATGACATCCTTTTGTTATACGCAACGAAGATACGTATGATAGCAACATGATGGCAATTATTTTCATCCATTTGCTATCCGCGTCTAACAGCATGTTGATGGCAACTTGATGGCAACATGATAGCAATATGTCATTATGATGTGATATCCGTAATAACCAGCATGTTGACAGCAACTAATGGCAACATTTGCAAAAATATAAAAGCATTTGTATATTTGAAAAACATATCCGATCTCTCTTATATATTTACATAAA